AGCTTGAAGCCATTTAGAGTGAGGTCCTTTCTATGCTAGAATGGTGATATAGTGATTATGCAGTCTAAAAGTCGAAGAAAAAATTTCTACATAGATAAAATAATTTAATATGTCAACCTAAGAACTAATTTATAAAATATACATGGGCAGTGCAAATAGCTATAGAAAATAAGATATATATCTTCATAAAAATTTCATAGTGAGTGACAAACTACAATCATTCTAATTTAAGTACAAATAATTATTATTTAGTTACTAATTTGATATACGTAACTATGGAATAAATCTTCAGCAAAAAATAGGAATTGAGATTGTATTATGCCGTAGGTAAATAAATAAATATTATTAGAGCTCCTCTTTATATTAAATTTAAAAATAATAATTTAAATTGTTAAGCACCAAATGTTAGCTCATGCGAGAAAATAAAGTAATCTATGGTCTATATATGTATATAGTCAATCAATCAAACGAATTAAAATTATAATGACCACAGTCAAAATTATATGATAGGTTCACATTAAATGCTCATGCGAGAAAGTAAAGTAATCTATGGTCTATATATGTATATAGTCAATCAATCAAACGTATTAAAATTATAATGACCACAGTCAAAATTATATGATAGGTTCACATTAAATATAATTTGTAAAAAAATAGTATATTAAAGTCAAAATCTTTTTAACCACTACATAGATTGTCTAAAAATTTTTGCATATATAAACTATATTACCTAGGAATAATGATGTGCACACTTAGCTATGGTCTAATAATCTTAAGAATGACTTATTCCTCAATATCATCATTAATTGATGTATATGTGCATAACACTGAAAATACAAAAAAAATTTAGAAAACTATAAAATAAACACACTCAAAAGTTTTAAAAAGTGTAAAAAATACTCTAAATTTTGTAATTTACAAACATACAAAACTATTAAACATTACATTGAAATCAAGGAATTATAAAAAAAATTATTGAAAAATTTTTAACTTTGGAGGGGTAATTTGCAATGTACTAAATTTTAAGGGTATTTTTTATAAATTTTAAATTTAATATATTTTTAATTAGTTATGTTCTTTTCAAAAAAAGTTATGGTAATATTTACCATGAAATTTTTTTCCTAAACCTATACTTTTAAAAGGTGTATGATATTTTTTATAAAATTTTAATTTTCTAGGGGTTGTTAGTAATTTTGCATATTCATTTTAGTGTCTATAGGTTAGAAATTCTCATAGAATTTTTTTTGTAAATTATAAATTTTAAGGATTTTTTGTACTTTTTTAAACTTATAGACCTTTTCTACAGATTGTAAATTATTTATAAACTATTAATACTTCCTATGCTTTCAATTTACTAATGAATTTGAAATTTTTAGGGAGTTTTTTGTAAATTTTGAATTTTAAACTTTTGTTTGTAATTTTTAAAACGTTAAGGGTGTTTTCTATAAATTATAAATTATGTAGGGAATATTTATAATTCTTATATTTTTAATGTACTATTAGGTCAGAAATTATCAGGATTTTTATAAATTTTAAAATCTTAAGGGTTTTATTTTACAATTTGTAAAAAGTTCAGAATGTGTATCCATAAATTTTTAGGGGTTGTTTGTATTATTTGTAGGTTTTTTTAGTATGTTTATAAGTCTGACATTTTCAAGGTGTATTTATAAATTTAAAATTTTTAAGGGTATTTTTGTAATTTTTAAAACTTACAAGATATTTTCTCCATAGTAAAAAGACTTTCAATTTCTAGTTAGCTTATATTTTTCAGATTTCTAACTGAATTGAGATAAGTAAAATTTATAATTTTCAAGATGCTTTAATAAATTTTGAATTGGTAGGGCGTTTTTGTAATTTAGAAAGCTTTGAGAATATTTTTTACAAAGTCCAAAAGCTTTTAGGTGCTGGCTAGCATATGTTTTTTAGATTTATCTACGAACTGAAATAAGTAAATGATTTGAATTATATGAAACATATCTATTTTATCCAATAACATGTTAAGTCTCATTATGAATAGAATAAATTATTTGGTTACCAATTTAAAGAAGATAAGATAATTAGAATAGATTAGGATAACAACGTAATATTTTAAAAAATCTAAAGGTAATATTGGTCATAGAAAGATTTTCCCAAACTCGTACTTTTAAAGGGAGTATGATGATATAAAACCTCTTCATATCTTTCATGGATCCCAAGCCAATATGAGTGATTAAAAAGTTTGGTGGATAACTTTTTCCTATCCACTTAAGTTGACATAAGAATTACTCTCTCTCTCTCTCTCTCTCTCTAAGTATACTTATATGTGTATATTATAGAATTACAGTTATATAAGTATATATAAGTGCATAAATATAATTATAGGTATATACTCTATATTGCATCTAGTATATATAAAAGTATATCATATAAATAAATTGTATAACTGTACTCAAATAAGCATAATGCAATTTTAATTCATTTGGGATGTATTCATCTATTATGATGTGACGAATTCCAAAATAAATTTATAATTAATTATTAATAAAAAAATATTATTATTACTTTAATTTCTATGGTTTTTTATATTTATAATTTATAAATTATATAATTATAAGTGATTAATAATATAATTATTTTTATTAAATTTTTGTTTACTTTTTTACTTTATATTCTTAAAAATTAAAAAATTAAAAAAAAAAAAAAAAACCCC